AAATTGAATATTGAGCGGAGTGGACTGCAGTACTGTTGCAACGTAAGCGTCTCTACGCTGAACAATGCTATACAGAGAAGGATATTGGAGTGCGAGGGGCATCTCCCCTAGCCATGTATTCTCCCAGAACCTCGTAGTGGTACCGTTTCTAACTATGAACCTTGTCTTGTTGAAAAAGAGTGATTTAACTCTCATCAATCCTTTCCAAAAAGGCAAATCAGTCGGCCTCACTGTCACCTGGGCCAAGGTTCTAGAGTGAAGGTATTTGTTACGCAAGATCTGAGCTCATGTGGCCTCCGTCTCAACAGAAAGCTTAAACAGCCAGTTGCTAAGGAGATCTGTTCTTCACCTCCAGATTCTCAATCCCTAGACCCCCTTGGTCTTTCGGCCTACAAATTATATCCCATTTAGCAAGTCTGTATTTTCTCTTTAGTTCATCACTCTGCCAGAAGAAGCGTGATTGATAGAAGTCTAGCCTCTTCCGGACTCCAACAGGTACCTCGAAAAAGGAGAGGAGAAACATGGGCATGCTCGTGAGAACCGAATTAATGAGAATTAATCGGCCTTCGTATGACATCAGCTTGCCTTTCCAGCAGCTCAGTTTCTTCTCAAAACGGTCATCAATGCACTTCCATTCTCTATTGGTCAGCTTACGATGGTGAATTGGTATACCTAAATACGTGAAAGGTAAAGCCCCCAATTCACACCCGAACAATTGCTTGTACACATCTTGGTCATCATTAGCTCTTCCGAAACAGAACAATTCGCTTTTGTGGAAGTTAATCTTTAACCCGGTCAATTGTTTGAATAAGCATAACACGAGCTTCATGTTTCGCGCTTTTGTCAAGTCATGCTCCATGAAGATGATAGTATCATCAGCGTACTGTAGAATGGTACACCTCCGTCAACTAAGTGCGAGATGAGGCCACCTACCTGACCCACATCCTTAGCCCTTCCTATAAGAATTGTCAACATATCGACCACTATGTTGAATAGAATAGGTGACATGGGATCTCCTTGCCTCAGCCCTTTGTGTGTTTGGAAGTAGTGACCTATGTCATCATTCATTTTAATCCCAACACTCCCTTTTTGCGTGAAAGAGTCTACCTGGTGTCTCCAGGCCTGATCAAAACCTTTCATATGCAAAGCCTGTTGAAGGAGAGGCCATTTGACCTTATCGTACGCTTTCTCAAAGTCCACTTTGAAAACAACTCCGTCTAGTTTTTTCGTGTGGATTTCATGGAGCGTTTCATGCAGGACGACAACCCCTTCTAGGATGTTTCTGTCCGGCATGAAAGCTGTTTGGGACGGTTGCACCACAGAGTGCGCAATTTGCGTAAGCCTGTTGGTCCCGACCTTGGTGAAATTTTTGAAACTTACATTAAGAAGACGGATAGGCCTGAACTGCTCAATACGAACGACCTCTGCTTTCTTAAGAAGTAGAGTTATCGTTCCAAAATTTAGTTGAAACAACTGAAGCTATCCAGAGAAAAAAAATCATGGAACATCGGAAGCAAATTCCCTTTGATAATATGCCAACTCTTTTTCTAAAACTCCGCCGGAAAACCATCGCGCCCTGGAGCCTTATTGTTCTTCATTTACTTTAATGTGGTTGTTGGGAGGTGGAATCCATCGTCGTGGCCTAACCATTGCACTTGTCGCCCTTGTGGTTTCTGTTTTCCTTAAGAGCGCTAATCTCTAACAAGTATGAGGAGACAAAGCCATGTATCATTGCAGGGCTTTGGAAGATACCTTCATGGATTGCTTTGCGTCGTGCACTCCATATTACCCATAGCGTCACCACCATGTTTGTGAACTCTTCCATTGAAAGACTATCATTCATAGCAAAGAGCCAATTCTGCACTTTGGGTTCCCTATTCACCAACATATACTCCACTATCACTTCTCCTAGACATGTTACAGTCCAGCAGAGAGTGTCGCCAATTGTCCTCTGCCCTGCATAAATAGCAAACACTCGAAGTATACATGTTTCGGTGGTGCAAAAGGTCGGCCTTTGGGAGTGACTGCTGAGCAAGGCGCCAAGCAAACACTTTGACTTTTGAGGGGACTTGAAGATGCCACAAAGATGTCCATCACTCCGGGTCCCTTCTGCCAGTTGAGCCTCCCTCTTCTTCTTCTTCTATCCATTCTTCCATAGAAAGCTCCCAATTTGCCCCTTTGTTCAACGCTGGTGCTGCCTCCTCCCCAGCGCCGCCGGCATCTACCCCAGTGATCGCGGTGACCGCCCCCAGGTTGCCCCCCATCCACCGCATCAGCCCTCTGGCAGTGGTCGCGGTGACCGTGGTGGCCGTGGTAGCGACAGCGGGGGTTGTGGCCAGTTGCAGTCCCCCCCTATCAAGAGTTAATCTCTCCAACTTACACAAGGGATTAATAATGATGGACAGTGATGGATCAGGAAATGTTTACGGACAAAAAAATAGGTGAGCCACGCATAGCCTGGGTGTCACGCACGGAAACCAATAAACGTATGAAGAACTATGAAAACCTCCGTCCTTTATTATTATTAGGTAAAGATAAAGATAGGGTTTCACTCTTTTTTATTTCTCCGGCACCAAAAAATTATACATGCACTTGCTTAGGCTCTGTTGTTCTTTTCAAATACACCTGTAAAGAATACAGGTCTCAGCTCATCGTTTTTTTCATGGTAATACGTGTCTTATTGATATCATAAATATTAAAGTACAAGTCATGTAAGGACCAACATGATAAAACTGAAAAGATAGCAGAACATCTCTGAGCTTGACACCAACGCCATCATCTGCCTCTGGCACCACGGCAACAGCCACACCGAAGAAAAGAATGGCAGATCACCTCCTCACCCGAGCTCCATCGCTGATATGTAGCTTTTCGGACCTTTAAGGTGGCTCACCAAAAGTGAAGCCCTTACCGTTGAACGAATCAGACGGGGCAACACCCCAGACACGCCATCGAACTCCAAATCTGGCACCCCACCGTGACTAAGACGCTGCAGAAGGAAACCATACCTGCCATCCACGAACCACGAACCCAACACATGTTCCGTCTTCAAGATGTCGTCGATGCAGACCACAATCTGCATCCGCTCCTGGACTACCTCCCAAGCTCCGCACCGACGCTGGAGCAAACGCCGTGGCAATGGTGGAGCCCAAGGACACATGTCCATCACGAAGATGTCGCCGCCACCACGCCATCTTTACTTGAACAGACTGGTTTCCAAATCCATCCCCAACCATAGGACCGATGGCCTCGTCAGCTAAGGATCCGAAGAATCTTTATTCAGCGCCGTCATTGTCGCCGCCAAAACAAAGACGATGAACAAACTAAAAATCTAGACTACGAAAGAGTAAAAACGATCTACACACTGGATCCGACGACCTCCCTCACCACCAACAACCGAGGTCGCCAGCGGAGGGGAGCCGCCGGAGAATGGCGCTGAAAGATTGACCTCTCCTGGCAGCGGCTAGGGTTCCAGCCGCGAGGGATAGAGGAAAACGATCTAAGAAAACTGGAAGATTCACTCATCGTTTTATTTCAGTTGGAGATTTGCTAAGCGGCCGATAAGATACAGGTGTAAAATATACACCTTCGTATTTAATTTATTTTGTGAGCATCAGTACAGACACAAGCGCTTATATGCACGCGCATACACTCATCCCTATGAACGCACACACGCACACCTTACCCCTATGAGCACCTCCGAGAGACTGAGCCGGCATATCATCTTGAGATTTACGAAGCCACCGTAGGCGCCTCGTCATCGACGGGAACGTCTCCTCCCACTGAAAGCGCATCGCCGGAAATTCTGAAATAAATCCAGGAATAATGCGAGCACCAGGATTTGAACCCTGGTGGGTTGGGATACCACTGTCCACCTAACTAACTCAACCACAGGTTGATTCGCCACCTCCGTATTTAATTACAACCAGTCCAAGCGCGGCCTTACAGTTACTGCTCGAGATGCTCTACTCGTCCACTCGATCGAGGTTCAGGGTTGACCCGGAGAGCGCTGCAGCTTGGAGGTCCTGCTCGCTGTTCCGCCCCCTTTTCTGCGTTTTCTCCATAGTCCAACTAAAATCATCCAAGAAATTGGCAGCCATCTACGCCTACGCGGGCATCTGTCCTAGGATTGCATCTGAATTCGGATTTCTCGCGAGCCTTGGCGTCCTCTCCGGACTCCAGGGGGAACAGGTAATCAACTATCTTTCTTGTTCGGGCTTTGCTCAGGATCTGTACCTAGTGGTTGTTTTGATTCTTTTTTCTTTGATAATAAAGAGTATTTATTGAAGGAAGCATGCTGGCTGTTTCATATTTGGGGTTTCAGCCAAAAGCTAGAATGCATTTTCTCTATCCAAGTTTATTGGGCCCCCTTGTATTTCGAGTAAAACTTTAACCATCTACATGATTAACAAAATTTGATGTATATGCTATAAAAGTTATACTATTGAATTTGTATTTGAAAGAGGCTTCCTACGGTATAATTTTTGCAGCATATATTTTTATATTTTAATAGTTAAATTCATTGTCAAGGTTTGACCAAAATACAAACACGACTAATAAACCCGGACGGAGGGAGTAATTGCCGCATGGTGAGCAGGGTACCATGTAGCGGAAGAGGACTTTTGCTTCTAACAGTACAAAGCATATATCTCTCTCTTCTAAGCCCAGAGCCCCTCAGATTCTCGGCGCTGGGAGGAGTGCATGGGACCAGGCCATTCATTTCTGTTTCACATTATGTTTAATGTGGTCATTTCTAGCTAGCTCTTCCTTTCTTTTCATTTTTGGGAATTAAAGTGGGTCTCTTCCTAGCTCTTTCCCCTCTCTTTGGTTTTCAACTTCTAAGATGCTAGAAGAGTCTCAAATTAGTCAGACACGTATTAACTCAAATTTCAAAGAACTTTAACTCGTTATTAATTCTCCATTTCTATTAGTAGCTGGCTGGTCCTTGTGTTTTACTATTATACGCCATTACTAAGTCCTTGCCCTGTATTTCGTTCAGAGCTATGATGAACGAGATTCAGGATGAGTCTGCAGTTGATCCAGTTATACTGATTAACACTTTATCAATTGATGATGCCAATAATGGTGGCACTGGCAAAAAGAGGAAATCAAAGTCCAAAGTGTGGGAGGATTTCATTCCTGTTTCAAGTGGTGGAAACATTCAGAGTGCAATATGCAAACATTGTGGGAAGCGCCTTAGTGGGAGAAGTTCTGGAGGAACAAGCCATTTGGGCCGGCATCTGAAGATTTGTCCTGGGAGACCTGGGAAAAGTATGGAGGGGCAAAAGAATTCATCTTCACAGACTAACCCATCAATCCTGCAGAACTGGGAATTTGATCAGGAGAAATCAGTGGAAGACCTTACTAGCTTGATAATCTCCAACCTATGCTCCTTCTCAATAGTGAAAAGTACAAGTTTTATCCAGTTTGTGGCTAGCATTAATCCTACTTTTAATATGGTCTCGCAAGCTACAATTGAAGAAAAGCTTATTGCTATTTTTCATAAGGAAAAGTTGAAGCTAAAAGAGAAAGTGACAAATGCATCCGGTGGAGTTTTTTTATCTGTTGGAATGTGGGGCCTTGTATTTTCACCGACCTTTCGGTGCTTCACTGTGCATTTCATTGATGAGAAATGGAAGATGAATAGAAGAATAATAAGTTATAGATGTGCAGGAACTGAAAATGATGAGGATCATTACTATATCAGCATGTTTCCTGATTGGCAGTCCTTCTGCAATTTAGGTGATTCGGATAAGACGAAACTGCAAGTAGTTAAAGATTGGGGTATTCAGCAGAACCTTTTAGGATTGACATCACAAGTACCGGTGGATAATGAATTCATATCGGGCATAGAGGCAAGTCTTTCAGGAAGCAAGTATCTTCTTTCCAAATTTAAGCTATTAACTGTTCCTTGTTTGGTGGATGCATCGGATAGGCTTTTCGGGTATGAAACCAAGAAAATTATTCAGGAAACAAGTCGGTCTTACTTCTGCTACATGACTGGCTCTTCAGTGCGTAAGCAGAAGTATAACCAAATTATTTCAAGTATGCACCTAAAGCATCCATCCTTTGGATCTAAACAATGGTACTCAACTTTCTACCTATTGGAGGTCATTTTGAAGTTCTGCAAGGCATTTCCCGATATTGATATAACAGATCGATTGTATTATAAAGAACCAACATCTGAGCAACTAGAAGCAGCAGAAGCTTTTTGCAAGATTGGAAGACCGATCTACCATGCAACGAGGGTCATTTGTAACCCTCATAATGCTTCCAATATGTACTTTGATCCACTGTGGCGTTTGAGGATTGTGTTGCAAGAATCATCTAGCAAACCTGACATTAAAAGAGTCCTTGATGTTGAGAATATGAACAGAAATTTTCAGAAGCATTGGGACAAATGGTACCTATGGCTGTCTGTAGCTGTGGTCCTGGATCCAAGACATAAGATCAGGTTTGTAGAATTTCGCTTTCGACAAGCTTTTGGTACCAGTGCTAAAATGTACATCTCTGAAGTTCGTGGGAAGATATGTGAACTCTTCACCAGTTATTCTTGCCACACCCGTCAGAAAAGTATCTTAGCTCGCACAAACAATGAATTATCGCGGCAGGTGTCTGATAGTTACTCATTACGAGACACAAATCAGAGCTACAATGAGCTGAGTGAACAAGGGAAATTTAAAGAACTTAACGATTATCTTGGAGGTGAACTTCATCTGCAAAATCATGGAGAGTACTTCGGAGAGACATTTGCTTCTGCAAATGACGCTGCTTTCCATGGAGAGCAAGTTTATCGGCAAAATGATGATTTTGATATTCTGAAATGGTGGAAAGACAATGAGTCAACATATCCAACTCTCGCTGCTATTGCACGTGATGTTCTAGCCATACCTGGATCCGCTGTTCCCTCTGAAGCTGCATTTGATGTTGCTGATGAGCGGGCAAGGCTATTCGAGACAGAGCTCAGTCCTCAAACAGCTGAAGCCCTTATTTGCACTCAGAGTTGGATTTCATGATGTGGTACAACTTCTAGCTTCCGGCATGCTGTTTACCTAATTAATCTACTTGATAACATGTAATGATCTGGCTTGTCTTATAGGATTGTAACTTTAATCTATGGGGCAATGCTAAGCTGTGGAGGTCTGCTAACTCAGAAGGTATTGGACAGTTGGAAAACTGAAAAATCGAGAGACATTTTAGTTGTAAAACACAGATTATTGAGAAAAGTTAGAATAAATTTCTGATCAACCTTCAACCTGTTACGTGGGTGCTTTAGAAACCTGTTCTAAATATTATGTAAAGAGTCTTATAGAGTACAGACAGTTAAACATACTAGCTTATTGGTACTGACAGTAACTTCCTCGACTAGTGACTCCAAAACACAAAGCTAAATATTTCATGTGCTATTGTGTGGGTGCCTAAAAGAAAAGAGAAATGTCCAAACTTTTAAAAAGGGTACTTTGGTTGATGCTCCACAGATTCAGGGCGCCGTTTGCTTTGGATCAAGGTTGAGAAGGTACAACAGTGCTGACTCTGTATAATCCTGGAGGCCAAAAAAGAGGCACATCATCGCATGGTGAAAGAAGCACGATGCAGTATCTCCTCGCTAGTCACCCCTGATGAAGATGATGATATTTGATGTCCTGATGTGGGACCTGACCTCATGTTTGACTAGTTTCCCTCAGATAGGGCTTTTGGTTATGGCTAGATTGTTATATGAGACTTTATATGGATGTTGTTTATGCTCAATTCGTTATCTTTCCTGCATAGCTGGTAGACTGCCGGCAAGATTTGTTTTTCTGTAGAGAAGACATTATGGTTTCGTTTTCACTAGTAGAATGAGCCGGCGAGGGGCCACCCTGTTGATCTAGAAGAAAACAGGGTTGCTATTTCTCAATAAACAGTCCGATCTGAGCGGATTTTTCCTTTTTCTTTCTTGGTCAATGTTTTACGTTATTATTATTATTATTATTATTATTATTATTATTATTTTCTGTGTTCATTTATAGTTGCCCGCTCGTCAGCCTAGCGCAACTGCAGCTGTACACATGCCTCCGATCACTAGCGGAGCTCCCCGTAGGATAATGTAGGGCGCGACTTGTCCAGATTTGTCAGTTGACGAATAGCGTGACAGTTTACGGGTCGCTTGCGTCACCTTCAGGGGGTGGCTCGGGTGAACCCTAGCCGCCCCTGCCGCTGCCGCCGACCCTCACTCCCTCTCTGCTTCCCCGCCACCGACGGAGGAGGCCGGCGAGCGTGCCCGGCGGACAGCGGGCTCTCCTCCTCTCTCTTCGTGAGGGGGTCTCTAGTCGAGACGCGAAGGCGGCCCTGGGCACCAGGCGTGGAGGCGGAGTTGGCACGATGAGGTGGTGGCCCGATGGGATTCCGGTGGTGGCTGAGCCACCATGTCTGTGGGGGCAGCGTGGGGCCGGCCATGGCGACGGCGGATCTGGGGTTTCCCACCCCAGATTGGTTCTTCGGGTGGTGCGGGTTCGGGCGCCGGTCGGCGGCCCTGAGCAGTGGTGGGTGCTACCTCTTGAGCTTGCATTGGTTTTTCCTTGAAGAGAAAAGGGTGATGCAGCAAAGTAGCGTAAGTATTTCCCTTAGTTTTGAGAGCCAAGGTATCAATCCAGTAGTAGACGACGCACAAGTCACCTAATACCCTGCACAAACAATCAAGAACTTGCAACCAACGCGATAAAGGGGTTGTCAATCCCTTCACGGTCACTCGCAAAAGTGAGATCTGATAGAGATAGATAAACGGTAAAGTAAATATTTTTGGTATTTTTGGGTGTATAGATTGGAAAGTAAAGATTGCAAAATAGTAGATCGGAAACTAGCAAGATGTAAACGAGATTTAATATTATGGAAAAGAGACCGGGGGCCATAGGTTTCACTAGTGGCTTCGCTCGAGATAGCATATATTACGGTGGGTGAACAGATTACTGCCGAATTGATAGAAAAGCGCATAATTATGATGACATCTAAGGCAATGATCATGAATATAGGCATCACGTCCGTGTCAAGTAGACCGACTCCTGCCTGCATCTACTACTATTACTCCACACATCGACCGCTATTCAGCACGCATCTAGAGTATTAAGTTCATAAAGAACGGAGTAACGCATTAAGTAAGATGACATGATGTAGAGGAATTAACTCAAGCAATATGATGAAAACCCCATCTTGTTATCCTTGATGGCAACAATACAATACGTGTCTTGCTACCCCTACTGTCACTGGGAAAGGACACCGCAAGATTGAACCCAAAGCTAAGCACTTCTCCCATTGCAAGAAAGATCAATCTAGTAGGCCAAACTAAATCGATAATTCGAAGAGACTTGCAAAGATATCAAATCATGCATATAAGAATTCAAAGAAGAACCAAATAATATTCATAGATAATCTTGATCATAAATCCACAATTCATCGGATCTCGGCAAACACACCGCAAAAGAGTATTACATCGAATAGATCTCTAAGAACATCGAGGAGAACTTGGTATTGAGAATCAAAGAGAGAGAAGAAGCCATCTAGCTAATAACTATGGACCCGAAGGTCTATGGTAAACTACTCACGCTTCATCGGAGAGGTAATGGTGTTGATCTAGAATCCCCCTCCGTGATCGAATCACCCTCCGGCAGATCGCCGGAAAAGGCCCCAAAATGGGATCTCACGGGTACAAAAGGTTGCGGTAGTGGAAAAAGTGGTTTCGTGGCTCTCCCTGATGTTTTTAGAGTATAAGAGTATATATAGGCGAAGGGACTAGGTCAGGGGAGCTATGAGGGGTCCACAAGGGTGGGGGCGCGCCCTCCTTCCTCGTGGCTGCCTTGTTGCCTCTCCGACTTCATCTTCAAGTCTTCTGGTTTGCTTTCGGTCCAAGAAAGATCATCACGAAGGTTTCATTCCGTTTGGACTCCGTTTGGTATTCCTTTTCTGCAAAACTCTAAAATAGGCAAAAAAAAAACAGAAACTGGCACTGAGCCCTCGGTTAATAGGTTAGTCCCAAAAATAATATAAAATAGCTTATTAAAGCCCATTAAACATCCAAAACAGATAATATAATAGCAAGGAACAATCAAAAATTATAGATACGTTGGAGACGTATCAGTGGGCGCACGCCTAGGTTGCCCTCCTTCACCGGCGTGGTTGGGGGCGGCCGGAGGTGTTTGTGTGCTGCAGGCAACGTTCGGTGTCGGCTCTGTTGGACAGTCGACGTGCACAGTGGTGGGAATCTGGCAGGTTGTGGCCTATTGTGAATCCCGCAAGTGTCATCTCTAACTCAATCTGCTCCGGTTGGTGCTAGTTCCAATACCTAGCGAATGCAGTTTCTCGGTGGTGGCTAGATGGATCTGGCGGGTGGGCATGGATCCGGGGGAAACTCCAGGCCAATGGCGGCCTCACCAAAGTGTACGCCCTGCGGTGTCGATTACCTTCCTAACCTCCTTCGTGAGGGCAGGTGAAAGCCTATGTTCCTCTGCTATGGCTGATGACGGCACCTAAGTGTCGTGTTCCTTCCTGAAGGTGTCAAATAGGGAATGTCATGGTGGTAGAGTTGTTGGTAGTGCAGAGTCGGCGTGAGATGGCATGTAGGTGGTGTGGCGTGGCATCTACCTTATCGACGACGGCTGGTCTCGATGGCATGGTGCAACAGAGCCTCGGCGACAGATGTGTCTAGATAGAAACGCGCAGGGCGGTGGCGCTGTCTGGCGTCCTGGTGATGTCGATGACAGATGTGACTGGCAAGATCTATGAAGTGATTCCTCCCAAATACAGGACGACAAAATATGGTGGCAGCAGATCCTAGAGCGCGCGTGCGCAGGCGGTGCATGTTATGGGGTGCCTAGACCGACTACTCTTATGGCATTGGATTAGATAATGTCTATTATGCGAACATGGCACATCTGTATACTTGTAGGTGCAGCTGATACGTCTCCGTCGTATCTATAATTTTTGATTGTTTTATGCCAATATTATACAACTTTCACATACTTTTGGCAATTTTTTATATGATATACTGGACTAACCTAGTGATCCAGTGCCCAGTGTTCGTTCCTGTTTTTTGCATGTTTTTTGTATCACAGAAAATCCATATCAAACAAAGTCCGAATGCGATAAATATTTACGGAGAATTATTTTGGAATTTATGTGATTTTTGGGAGGTGGAATCAACGCAAACGGGGCCCCACAGAGCCCACAACCCACCAGGGTGCGCCCCAGGCCCCAGGCGCGCCCTGGTGTCTTATCCCCTCCTCGTAAGGCGGTTGGGGCTCTACTTCTGGCGCAAGAAAGATGATTTATGGAAAAAAATCATGTAAAAATTTCAGCGCAATCGGAGTTACGGATCTCCAGGAATTTAAGAAACCATAAAGGGCCATATCCGGGGAACGCGAAACAAAAGAGAGCAGAGAGGGAGATCCAATCTCGAAGGGGCTCCTGCCCCTCCGCCACCATGGAGGCCATGTACCAGAGGGGGAACTCTCCTCGCATCTAGGGGGAGGCCAATGAAGAAGAAGAAGGAGGGGGCTCTCTCCCCCTCTCTCCCGGTGGCGTCGTAGTGTCACCGGGGCTAGGATCGTGACGACGATCTACATCAACAATCTTGCTACCGTCTACGCCAACTCTCTCCCCCTCTATGCAGCAGTGTAATACTCCTTCTCCCCGCTGTAATCTCTATTTAAACATGGTGCTTAACTCCATATATTATTTCCCAATGATCTATGGTTATCCTACAATGTTTGAGTAGATCCGTTTTATCCTATGGGTTAATCATGATCTTGGTTGGTATGATTGTATGTTTTATTTATGGTGCTGTCCTACGGTGCCCTCCATCTCACGCAAACGTGAGGGATCCCCGCTGTAGGGTGTTGCAATACGTCCATGATTCGCTTATGGTGGGTTGCGAGAGTGACAGAAGCTTAAACCCGAGTAGGTGGGTTGTTGCGCATGGGATAAAGAGGACTTGATACTTAATGCTATGGTTGGGTTTCACGACCTTAATGATCTTTAGTAGTTG